GCAGAGGATGATTCTTGCTACCAGAGAAGATTCGTGGGTATTCAGGTACCTACAGTTCCCCTCAGCGCGGAATCTTGCCGCACAAACACAGATCAGCGGAAGTGCGTAACGTGCACCTCTGCGTCTGGAGGACTGCCTGGCTGCCAGGAGGAATGCCAGGCGTAGCTGGCTTACACCACGTGCAGCAAACACAACTGGTGCAGGCAGGCAAAGGGTTAAGTGTCAAATGATGTAAACCCTGGCAAACTGACAGGAAAAAAACCAAAACAAAACAAAAAAACCCCAAACACCAATTAAGTTTTAACAAGGATAACTACAGAAACCATTTCCTAAGCAGGTATTAACAGGAAGCACACAGAGCACGGGTGAGAGTGGAAATCCTTACAGGAACTGCTGTCGCCTGAGTTCAGCTCCACCAGAGGCTGAGGGAGTGCCAAGACAGGGATGAAACCCCTCGGGCTTCACCCCCAACGGCACGCACTCTCCTGAGCAGCTCTGGATGCTCTCCCCAGGACAAGGTAACTCTATTATGCTTTGCTAGAAGAATAACATCAAACCAAACACAAAACGGAACTGCTTTAGCGTAAACGTCATGCTGATGCGGCAAGAGCCGTGGATCACGCGCCGCCACTCCAACAGCTTTGGACACAGCCAGTGACTTGAAGACAGAAATGCTGAGGCTTGTGCTGAATGCTGACATGCTTCCAGTCAACTCCTGCTCTTCGCTGTGCGTTAATCACGCCCGCAGCCGTGTCTCAGGGCAGCCGTCACCTCATTTCTGCCAAGGCGAGCGCGTTGGATGTGTGTCCGGCCACACCTGCCGCTGGCGGTACGCGTGCAGCGCTGGGATGAACGGCAGGAAGGTGTTTGTATGCGAGAGGCTAAAAGGAGGACGGGTGGCAAAAACTGGGATGCGTGACAGCAAGCAGAGGTTAGAACAGAATCCTAGTGCCCCGACCGCTCCCATGGTTGTGTCAGACCTTAAGAAACTGATTCCCGCTGCCACCCGCAAGCACGAAGACTGCACGCCACAGGGACAGGGGCACTTCCAAAGCTCCAGCCAGCTGGCTGCCGGCTCCATCACCCTTTCTCTCCTTCCGTGGGTGCGAACGTACCAAACCCCCAAACTACAGCGAGAGTAGGAAGCGACCCACTGCTGCGAGCAAAACCGTCACCTGCAGCTCCTTCTCATTTCTCCATGCAGAAGCCGAAATCCGCTGGTGCTGGGTACCAGCACACTCCTGCCTGCTGCAAGGCAGCCCGAGACTCGTGCGTTTTCTGGTGGTGTGTGACGGGTGTTAAAGCTGACCTCCAGTGAATCTGAAGAGCTCCCATGAAACAGTTGTTCATGTTAGCTCAGTACCTGCAGCAGAGTAATTTCACACACCAGGCATTCACTTCTCTTCCCGAATTCCTCTTATTCTTAACGACGTGACTGCCGTTCTCTGCGGCGCTACCAGCGGGTATCACTAGCATCACACAAGGAAAGCAACACCTTAGCGCTGACGCTAAAGCCATTCCTGTGTCAGAGGATCCATAAACCACTTTTCATGCCACAGCCCAACCCTGAAGCAGTCCAAGCAGCATTTCGTGCAAAGATGATGAAAGTAGAGTGTACCTGGATGAGGAAGCGGCACGAAAACTGCAGATTTAGAGCAAGGCAGAGAAGCTTCACAGACACGGAATGAAAGAAGAAATGTAAGTGAATCATGTCCATGACAAGGGGAAGGGGAGAGAAAGGAGAAGAGGTGATGAGAAAACATTTGCAAACAATGACCTCACCCAACTCTTTCCAGATGCAAGAAAAGAATTTTTCATGTATCTGCAACTTAATATGTTTGTACCCACAAGGAACAGCTCCCTTGGCTGAAACAGTTTAACTCAGTGTGATGAAGTCACCCAGCACGGCTAAACACTTGCTTTTCTTGCTCAGTATTTCCCAAATCCCAGTAAGCAGACATCGATCTGCGTCCCTTACTAGTCCCATAGCTGCCTTGCTGTTTGAAGGAATCCCGTGGCCCATCCGATCACACCTTCAGCAGTCACCTTTCTCCTGGCAGCTACGAGGTCCGGCAGTGCCGACACCCTCCCTGCTGTCTCTACAGCCCCAACGTGCACAGCAGTGCCAGCCCCGTCTCACACATCACTCGCAAACGTAGCTACGAAGCTGTGTAAAGTGCCAGAAGACTAATTAAACTTTTAGTACAATTAAACAGCTTAACGAGCCAAGCGTGTTTTATGCAAAGTTGCACTGGTTGATGCACCAGTTTAAACTGGTGAAACTGTATGTTGGTTAAAGTGGGGCAATGTCATAAACGTGGGATGAAGGAGCAAAATGAAAAGCTCCATGTTGTGACCTGGTCCACAGCCTGAGAAAATGGGAGATACCCTGATCAAACCCCAAGTCTCTGTATTCAGATTGCTAGAATGAAGCGAGAATGCTGAAGGAAATGGGTCCTAATAAACAGTAAGAGATGACATCAAAATACCCCTTCGATTAGCCATTCAGCACAAGGCTTTCATGAAGCACTCATCCCTTACGGCGGTTTCACACGAGCCAGAAACACCTACAAGGGCTGACTGAAAAACCGGAACCATCAGACATCTCCGGGCCTTCCTATCAGCCTGTTAAAGTTTAATTTCCCAGCAAACCCTGCACGGTGTCACAAAAGCATTCCTACGGGCTCACTAGCATGCCGAAGGAGTTCACTAGCTCTTAACTCCCCCTGTGGAGAGGGGCTCTTAACCAGCCTTTGACAAAAGCCGTCTGTTTGTAGAACACTCGAAAGAAATTTTCAGAGAGTTGGCTTAATTCCTTCCCCTTAGCTAACACAGAAGAAGGAATAGAAAGTGAGCTGTAAGGAAGGAGGAGTTTTACACAGCAAAATTACTTTTATGGTAGCAGAGGGCTTAATCCCGCATCATCACCTCATCCTTGCAAAAGGAGCTGTTGGAGATGCCACCTTTGCCCATAACGCACTTTCACACTGACAGCAAGGTCTGTCTGGTTTTTTTTCTTCCCCTTTAATTTTATTCTTCTCCCTGTTCAGGTAATTCTTAGCTGCATATTAAATAAGAAAGCTTTTACTGAACCACTTTCCCTTTCCATAATCTCGGTTGTTACCTGTATCTGCAGGCTATTAGGAGGTTTTATACAGAAATATTTCTACATACAGGATGAACTGCATGATAATCTAATGCAGTGACTACATTGTATTTCCGTAACGTATTACAGACCATGTACAATGTTAACTAGAACAGCGGTCTGTAGCACTCCTTCAAACTCAACTTCTACCCGTTTTTACTACCCAAATCAAAAAGGATTTCAGGATGCAACCCTGAGGCCCTCTCAGGCCAATGCTCTTGTTGCCAGGCAGGAACACAAACCAAGGAAACAATGGCAACAACCATCTCCTTTAGGCTAAAAGTGCAGTTTATAATGAAGTAGCAGAGAGAGGGGTAACAACTGTGGAAAATATGCTTCACACTTTCTCTCCTCACTTGGGACAATTTTTTTTAATGTAATAAATCATGTGGAATTGGCAGGAAACTGGAAAGCAAATCCTGTTCTGAGTATATTTACACTGACAGGCATCTTGAAATACAACTCTGGAACACAGCATCAGTATTTCAAGAAGGTGATCTCCCCAGATTTAAACTATTTAAGCTGGCTTCTCATACTGGGAAAGGCAAGTTGCAATCACTTTTCACTGCATGAAACCAACCAAGAAATCACTATTCCCAAATTATTCAAACACAGAGCACAGTCTTACCTCTCTGCATGTTGCACCCGCGCACATACCTCACCTCTGCAACCCTCATCAAGCTGAACAAAACACGTGCACAGCATCTGTAGGCAAACTGACAATCTGGAAGACCAGATTTCTTGAACAGAGCTAAGTACAGCTCAGCAGAGCTTATTTCAGGGCTGGTAGGAACCAGTAAAGAGCAAGAGTGAAAAACTCCAGCACCTCTGTAAATATTATACCTACATCCAAGTAGTTTCTAACCTTCCAGCAGGGTTAGAAACAGCAGAAATAGAAGGCTGACTGACTTCAGTGTTCAGAACTGCAACAGCTATATCATCATTTAAGAAATGTCACACACTGTAATTTTTATGACAAAGAAGAGTAAAGAATTTCCTCCATACCTGAGACACTAATCCAAAAATCACTTTAGGAAGAGCCTTCATGAGGATTTCTCTGACATAAATTCCATTTTCTTCCTATACTTCATTTCCTCCAGCTTATGCTTTAACTGCTATACTGAAAAAATTTTACTCTCTTTAATTTTTCACCCTGAAAACCTATGCTGTTAAACGTAACCTCTGCATCTCCTTGTAATACCCCTCTCTCAAAGCCAGAAGGAATTAGTGCTTTTATCCCTTTACTGCCTTTGATGACCACTCTTTTCTTGAACACCCTCGTTTTATCATCAGCAGATTCCTGGCAATACAGCAGCCTGAGCTGACCCAGCATTCCACGTCTATCTACATAGATACTGCTTTTTCCTCACGGCAGAGTACGATCTCCGTATGATGCTGCCTACATACGCACTGCCCTTAGGTCTCCTAGCCAATAAAACTGGGTCAGCCCAGACACACTTCCACGGCACAGTTCTGGATTATTTTTCCTGGTGTGTGCCACCTTGTAATGCCCAGACAGGGATTCTCCTTGCAAAACGTCATTATTATGTAATTATTCATTTTCAAGGCTCCACTGCTGCATGTGTTTCATATTAAGATGCAGCTCTTAGTCGTGCTGATGCCCTTAATGCTATTTCCTTCATGCAGAATGACTCAGGAGGCAGCTTTTGTGCTGGACAAAATCCAACATCTGAAATACCAGGGTAATAACTGAGTAAACAGCTTAATATCCACTTGACTCAAGAAGGCAGTGATGTCTGATGCAAAAACACATCTGAAGAGACAACAAGAGAGCGTTTGGCTACAAAACCGGTAAATTGGAGGCATTTCCCGTATCTATGCAGTACCAGGAGAGCTACTGACCTGGGGAGTGCTGGGAAGTTGCAAGCGAGGTCATGGAATTGGAAAGGTTAAGGTTAGCAGTAATGCTCAGCTGGCTCTGCACTGCGGGAGGATACGGAGATGTGGGCGTCAGGAGAGACTCTTCACTGGTTTCCTCATCAATTCCAGGCAAATACGTGTCAATCAAGGCATCAAGGAACTTCACGATGAGCTCAGCATAGTCTGGGATTTGTGTTTGCTGTGAGTGATGAGGGGAAAACAAAAAACAAATTGGTTCTTGTCTTTCTACTTTTCTGTCAGCACGAGCGTTGCCCCAGAACTCCCTCCAGTGTCACACTGGCTGTGCCTGAATGTTTCCAAAGCATTCCGTCTGTGAACTGGTTCGTGGTCTTTTCCCAGCTAATCTAAATGCACATGTTAAACCCACTCGTAGGTGTAATTTCAGCAGCGCATGGCAGCTCGAAGGCAGAAAAGAGGGGCCATTGCACTCAGGAGGCAAACTGCGGCAGCTCCCTGAACCTGATGTTACTGCCAGCATCGCCCTCTGCCCCCAGAGCCTACCACCCGGCACACTGCCTACTCCTGATGTTACTACCAGCATGGCCTCTGCCCCCAGAGCCTACCACCCGGCACACTGCCTACTCGGCTCGTTCTTGTTACCACGACCAGAGGAAACAAATGGCTGTACAGATGGTCAGCGCTCAGCTTTCTCCTGCTGCAGTGGCAGATTCATCCCTACGCACCATCACTCTCACCGATTTAACCCCTCACCCTGCAAGAGGCACACGATGAACCAACGGCGGTGCGTGATGCTGCACTGAGGGAACTTGGGAGCAGTAAAACGGTGCATTTACACACCCGAGTGCTTTGAGCAGCTCTGGTCATTTGACCTTACCGAGTCCATCGATATATCTGATAAGCTACATCTTCCCAACATACCTGATGTAGGCTCAAAACCAGTTTTAGCTGGAAAAGTGAGCCTTGCATTACTGACCCGCTGAGACAACTCTGTGTCCTGTCACTTCTCCGCAGCAGTGCGCTTTACACAGAACGCGAGGGCAGACACTCTTGCACCTAAAGACAGCGTACTGTTCTTACCTTGGAAAACGGGCCAGCAAACCTCCACAACCCATTGAATCCAAAACCTGCAACAACCAATTGAACGTTAGCACAAAAGCACAGTTCTCAACTGACAGAAAACCACCAGAAAGTTTTGGATTAAGGACCACAAAAAAAAGCTTAGGCTTTAAGTGTTGAAGTATCACGAGCAAACAGAGGTCGGGCACTGAAAAAACAAACGCTAACACTGTGGAATTTATCAATAATTATATCAGCCCCAAAGTTAGCAGGTTAACTTAAAACTCATCATCTATCACCACTATTCTTGTTCCGTATTTCTTTAAATTGGTTAGTGGTAGCAGAATACCGAGTTACAACTTCTTTTTACCCATCCAGATGGTGCAATACTCCTAGTATTTGGTGCACATCTGCAGCTAACAGTTTGAATATTCATGTCAGTAGGGTTGGGGATTTTTCTTAAATATGCAAACTCTTATTTTCACTAGGATATATGCAGTTGGAGAGATTCCACACAAGTCTGTCTGTTCCACTAGGGTTCCAATAATTGTGAAACATTTGCAGTAATGAATCTAACTTAAAACACAGCAGTTTAAAAAAAAAAAAAAAAAGGAAAAATATTTACTCTGTAGGTAAGAAGTTTGGTACTGGGGTGGAGACTCTTCATGGTAGACAACACTCTGAACAATCCCATGAATTGGATTCAACAAATTTGGGTCCTGGCACAGCGATAAAAGGGTATTGATCTTGGAATCCAATAAATTATGCCTGAAGAAAAGAGAAGTGGTTTATTTTTTGTTCATTAAATGAATCTGCAGTTCTCAGACTTTAGCAAACAGTTAAGTTGGGATTTTCAAAATCTCAGACATTCCAGAGGTACAGAACAATTCCTGTATGTGTTCAGTGAGGACTCCTGCAACGAGTAACACTTTGAACAACTGTACGAACAACACAGCCCATTAAAGCATCTACCCAGCACTCTAACTTGCAAACGCTTTCATTATTTTCAACCAAAAACTTCTTCACTGGATTTGTGTGCACGTCAGAGCTGGAATTTCAAATTCCAGCTTTTCAAAATCCCCTTTTTAAGCTCCTGGGAGTACTGTCTCATTTGAGCTCCCTTGCAGAACTCATCGGTGGTGGGTGCTTTTTCTAATACAAACACCAGTTATAGCTGTGGTTCCCCCAGCTCACAGACCTCATCCCTACTTCGTCCTGTACTTTGCAAAGCCAGAAAAGGGGAGCCTTATTTCTACATCACACACAGGTCAGTTTTAAAAGTCCACACAGGTTGATTTCCCATGGCTGGGCCTCCCTTACCTATACTGATTCCAGTGAATGCTTCTTCTAACCGGTAACTAAAGAAATACATCCAGAGTGTTGTCAGCTCAGCTTCACATCAGCTTTGATATGCTTTTGGGATACTAACTGAAAAACCTGAGTCTGACTGGGGTGAAAATAGTACTTGAGGGAGCACATATGGACTTAGCAGAAAGCTACATGACCATATTCCAATGTCCTGCGATGGCTGCAGCATCGACAGGCGATAAAGCCACGCCAAGTCAGCAGGACAGGGTAATGGCAGCAGGGATGCGGAAAGCTTTGGGAAGCAGCTGATGGCTGTACCGACAGGCTCCCTAGCAACAGCGACAGATCTCCCACGCTCTGCCAACCCGCCCGAGACTGACGCCGGAGCGCGCTTCTGCGGACCATCTGCAGCAGCGGCATCTGAGGGGGCCTGTTCTGGTAAGAACATTCTATTCATTGAACACGGGGGAGAAGGATGATTCTCAAATCGCTGCGGACATTGGTCTCAACAAGCCACTGACAGACTGCGGCTAGCAACCAACGAGTATCTCACACGTGGTTTTCCTGCTCCAGAGACCTTTTAAAAGAAGGGCCAAGTACAGAGTCACCAAAACCAGAGGTTTAGCTACTTACACAACAGGAAAGACCTTTGGGAAGACAACGCTGGCTTCTGCTAAATACTCATACAGAATCCGCTGGTCAAACTCATCCGTAGTGTACTTCACTAACGTCGCCTGTCATAACGGAAAGGATTAAATTAGCATGCTTCTAATTCGATTTGAGTAGTTACAGGCTTGTGGTGGTGTTGTAGTTCAAGGTTTTCAGATTTCTGAATGGCAGAAAGTAGCATTACAAAAGAGCAATTTATGTCCTCTTTGGACATGGGATCAACTTATTTTATGCGTAAAACCAGCGGGTAATAGCTTCTGTTTTGGCAAAAAATTTAGCTAGTCAGTTTTTGACAGAAATTGGGTACCTGAGTCTTTCTGAATTGTATCAGGAATGGTAACTGGCCCGGCACATCTGAAGAATGCATTATCCTACTGTACCTATATTACTAGTTAATCGCTTTCAAACTGATTTACCAACAATTTTCACTTCTTAACTTTAAGATATTAATATCCTTTCATGATGTAAAATTAGTTTGTGATAAAAATCTGCCAGGAAAAAGGGACAATTGCTGGGCACATCCTACAAACCAATACAGAAGAATGAAAATTCAGTATTTGCTCTCAAAGAGCATTAAATACGTTTCTAAAAGCAGTTCCCAGAAAGTCTGACGAACAGCAACAAGAGAATAGACTTGTACATTACAGTGCTTCCGACTTGTATGACTTCAGAAACACTGCAGAAACCCGTAGGCTTCTCTGGAAGGCAGAAGAACACCAGAAAATAACAGACAATACACAGAAAGAAAGCTTACAAGAACTGTAAGCAGCAGTGCTTGAATTTTTGGGTCAGTCAGAACTTCTTCATCTAGGAGGACATTTGACTCAGAAACAGAAACTTTTCGAAGATGTGGGTGTTGCTGCGGTGATATTCTCTGAGTTTCTGCCAGATAAAAAAAAAAAGAGCAACTCATCCAAAGCAAAATAACCCCAAAACAAATAGAATTAGCTCTTGCACAACAAATCCAGTCGTATGCAAACTTTAGAGTTCACCAGCCTTTTCATAAAGTATCAAAGCAACAACTATGCTGTACTACTAGCACTGCTAAACCACTACATGGGATGTATTATCGAATGGCAAACAGTAACCCCAATTTCCTGATCAGTGAAATACAGGCCCAGGGGTGGCAAGTACCATCTTCAGGGTCAGGCAGGAGACTGACATCAGATACAACAGAAGAACCCTGGTCTTGCATTGCAATTGGGGATGGGGGCACAGGAAGCAGATGTGGGAGAAGATGAAGAGAGGCATTCTAGGCATTAGGTCACGTTCCATCTCCTGCAGAAATGTGCAGCTAGGGGTTATTAATTTATAAAAAGCCAAATTGTATTTATTTCATTTCAGTCCTCTATGTGGTACTTTACAGCTGCCCCTTGTTCTGCATCTGCAAACTGAGCGACTCTACTTCTAACCTCAGTTGCCAGTGATACGGAAGACTGCGCCCTCCAGAAGTCACCGTTAAGAAAGATATTTCTCCCTTACCTTGTAGTAACCTAGGCAAATAAACACTGAATTTAGAAATTTATAATTAGTATTGCTCTTAAAATGTTAGTCCTGTTTCTCACCCATTTCATAATCATTTTCGGCTACTCTCCTCATTTTGGGAGGCGTTGTGATTCCAGATTCCATGTCTTGCCTTTTAGGAGCCTTTGTGTCCGATATCAAATGGTCAAAACTTTTCCTTGTACCTAAAAACAATTTATCAGGCAATTAAAAACATTAAACCTGAATCCGTATCTAACTATTTCTCATTTTCTGGCCAAGCTACTCTCCTATCTACAATGTATCGATAGGAATCTGGGGACATTTTCACCATTTTCAGGTATGGTAGAGAAAATATGATCACACCATGCCGCTCTCCATCACAGTTTCCAAAATGCTTCACAATATGTATGAGGAAAGCATGCAGTTTATTCAAGTATGCAAGGTGTGGGCATGCTATGGTTTCCTGGTCAACACATCACATCGAATAAGCATGCCAAAATGTGATTACTGAAAAGGAAGCAGTAAGAGGAGTGTAAGAAAGAAACACCCCCTCCTTCCACATACACCGTGTAACGGAAAGGGGTAAGCACAAGTTATGCAAAGCCACTCGTCTCGTTTCGCTGATATTAAGACTTTGCTTGTAAACATGGACCCACTGAGAAGCCACAAATAAAAATCAGATTGCTTCCACAACATCTAAAAGGTTTTGGGACCATCTCTTCTAGCGTAAGCTAGAGTATTCAATACAGTAAGGTTTTCAGCATCCTGGGTTTGTTGAAGGGGCGCCGGGGGCAGAACACTGGCACTAGGGGTCTTTCGTATCTGGAATATCTTTGTGTCTTCCTTTTCTCTCCACTTCAACAGGCACATTCTGAGTGTCATTCCTGCACAGAACCGAGTTACTCCTCTTTAACTGCACAGTGTTCTCTAATCTCTGTTTTGTAGAAACTGCATATACTCCTCTGAATCACGAACAGGCGCTTAAAGTCAGAAAAAACACAAGAATAATTCTTCTCCAGTAACACTTCCTGGGGTATTCTGCAGACAAATTAGTAAATTAGTTATCTCAATAACCTAGAAGCTTTTTAGTGTTTGCTTGTGAAGGCTGCCCCATATCCAAACTCATGGATTTTCTTGTTCGAGGGCTTATCTGTCCCACTGTCGGGTAACTGGCAGCCAGATGTCTGTCTGACCCCTTTGGTGATGACCATGGTTGATTTTCCTTTAGTGTCCTGAAAGTGCAGAGAAATTAAGAAAACCTTTTAAACTGTGCATATTTAGGCAACAATTTTTCAACTAGCCAAACTATCCTTTATTAAACCCATCTTTCCTAACAGGCTAAGCTCCCCAAACCACATCTTAAGAAACAGTAATTACTTTGCAAAAACATCTGAGCTAGTGAAAACTAACAAACAATCCGATACGCACGTAATGCTAAAGAGATAAAAAATAAAGCAACGATGAGAACACAAGCAAAGCAGCCTACGAGGCAAGATGAAAGATACTTCATAGCCTGCTGCTCCATACTGGGTGCTAAGAGAAAGCTACTGAGTGAACTGCTCCCTATTGAGAGGGACCAGCTCTCCACGCCACCTCGAGGTTGGTTTCTCAGCTTATCTCTGTGGCTGCTTATGGACAGGTGATAGGGTGACAGGGTTTTCCCGTGACACAGACCAAGTGATTACTTGGTACGTGCCCTGAAGCTCTTAAAAGGACAAACAAAACATTCTTCTAAAACAAATGAAAAATGAGGTGAAATTAGGTCTTGTAGAAAGAGGTTAGCAAAGAGTTTAAGAACCTCCAAAGCAGTTAAGCTCTGAAACAGCTTTACAGATCTCAAAATCAAGTCTATAGGAACTTGATACCCACATTTCTCTGGGACTCTTGATCACAGTGTAATTAGCATATTGGTCTGGAACCACTCACAGAACACTAACTTGGCTCTATGAATGTGGGTTTCAGTTTTCAATGTACCACAGATTAACTTCAGAGAATTTACTAAAGCAAACAGCCATTGAAATTTGGGTAACTTATCTAGAAGTTAGACAACCAACCTATAGCTAGTGTCACTGTGATGTATGGGATATGTATCCATAGGAACATTTTCCATTGAGACATCTGTCAACAAGAGAGACTTCCTATGTTTTAGGCTGCAGCGGCTTCGAACTTCCTCAGATACTGTCAGCAAAGCTAAAAATTCAAAGAAAGCTGACATAAGTTTCCCACAGTAGGATTACATTGAAGAATGTAAGCAATATTCCACCGATTTAACTTTTTAAAGACCACCACTGAGATGTAATTACTCTTTACTGAAGTGTAAAAATTAAAAGTAGGTCATTTAGGAAGAATTATATTCCCCATCCAGTTACAATTACATGATTTAAACATTTGACCTCACATGGTCACAATTTCTTTTTCTAGACTACAAGAAATTTGAATGTCCTAAGGCACACACTTCAACCCAGAAAACAGCTCCCCTGAAGTATTTTCCAAGTTCCACAGCAGGCCCTGTGCTGGTAAGCCTTCCCGCCACAAAACCCTTCAATCCATCTACCCCAGCCTGGCCCAGGCTCTTCCCCATCTCCAGTTACAGGTTTCCTTTATGTTGGTACAATTTTAATCAACCTAAACCCATGAGAATTCCCACAATAACCCATTCCTTTTCAGTTAGCACAAATTTAAAAGACGTAGGTCTGTTTCATTTTACCTGCAAGGTAAGCCACGCTCTGGGTGTTCACCTCAAACTTGTCACAGTTCCTGTGTTTGTTAACCAGAGCTAGTAGTGTATGTAAAATCCTCACTGTTCTTGCTACAGTGGTAGGAGAAGGGTGCCTGTACCCTAAGAAATGAGGTCAAGAAACCAAATATTGTATTTATCTCTAAGGCCTATTCATGAAGCATTAATATTTTGAAGTATTTGTAAATATTTTTCAGCATGTTCTCAGGAAGCTCCGTGTAACCGTTAAGGAAGCAGAAAGCTGACAGGAATTGCACACCTGAGAATAATTTTTTCTGTCCCTCTCCCCAAAAATCACACAATTTCAAATGCCTGCACATGTATTAGATCTATTATCTCTCAAATCAACCTTCTAAAAGGGAGAGTGAGCCTGAACACAGACAAACACAGAGAGAAAGACAGCGTTCCCGGAGGAAGCAGTAAAGAGCACATCTATGGGAAACCTGGCAAAGTCCTTTAACTGAAGAACATTTAATTCCGTATCTACTCTGTGACCCCAGTTACCTAAAATCCACCACCCATTCCCCACCCCCTTTATCTTGTTTTTATTTCTGAATTAAGAGTGTTCATCTACAATGAACAGCAATAGGTATTCTTACCTTTCAGGAGGTGTCCCACTAATGCAAAGTTAAAGTTGGAGTTGAAATTTAGCCCAACAAAATGATCCATCTGCTTGCAGTGCCATTCGAGTGGCCTCCTGATCTCCATAAACACCTCTTCTGGGCTCTGACCCAGAAAAAATAAAATACAGGAGTACCTCATCGAAAGTTATCACCTCAAAAGTTTTTTTTTGGTGTTCTTTTTTAAGTGACAAAGCAGTAATTTTAATAGTTTACATGACAACAGCAAACACTCTTGACTAGAACACATGTGCACATCGCTGTTCCACTTCAGAACAGACTAATAAGAGCTTTATCCCTACATCTCACTTTTACTGTCGATATTACGCAAGTGAAAATTTCTAATGCAAATTTCAGCTTTAGTTGCTCAACTACTGTCCCTGAGGACAAGGGAGTTTGTTTTCTGTAAGAGACGGAACTGCTTACGCGACCCGAGGGCTGGGGGCAGCTGGTGGCTAACAGCTTACCTTGTCATTGAATACCCGGAGGCTGTCCAGGGTATGCAGGTTCTGCTCAAGCAGTGCTGTACCTGCCGAGTACAGGTTCACTTCATCCAGCTGCAGTACTGCCATGGCTACCCAAAAGAGGGCCTTGTGCATAGGAGAGTCCTAGACCAAAAAAGAAAAAGCCACAATTTCACTTTCAAGCCAGTTCCTGTAAGTCAGAGAGAACAAGGCTGACACGTGGTTGTGTACATGCGTTACTACCCTTCCTCTAGCAGGTCTGTCCTCAATCACACCCACTCCATCACTACGGATGTACATATGAACCTGAAGTCTTAATGCACTTAACAGGTAAGAGTAGAAAGCAAATTAATTTCAAGCCTTTCACCCCCCAAAGCCATTCCTTCTGCCTCGTATCCCCTCCCTTGCTCACAAAAATGTCAGACACATACTGCCCCTATAGCAGACTGAACAGAAACGCATCTCGATGATCTGGAAGGTCTTTTCCCACCAAAACCATTCTGTGATTCTGTTATCAATTTGAGAGCGCACGCTGAAAATGGATTGCAATTCTAAACAGAGAACTGGCCAGGCAATTTCTTCTCCAAATCAACAGAGCACACGGGAAGAATTGGCATTCAACAGATTCTGGGTCTCTCAAGCAGCAATTTTTTCTAGGCACAAGATTTATTTACTAACATATATGAGGCTCTTCTTTAACGGCATACCCACTGGTATGCTGATCAAACAGTGAACATGGCAGTACCATACAGTGGGCGACCTCGACACCAAATCAGGTCAGACTGACATTTATTCCCAGCCATCACCCAAACAGCACGTACTAGCAGCCAAAGACTTGAACGCCAAGACTGCAAAGCTTTTGGAAAGAATTACGGCAGCCTGCGGAACGGTCTTTTGCCTACATTGCTGTGGCCCAGTTCGGCGAAGCAGAACAGTACATTCTACAGCATCTGTAAAGCCTTTGCACAGGTCCCACATACAAACATCTGCGACACACTTCCTATAAGTAGTATTTTCACGCATGAGTCATAGCAGCAAAGTGTGAGCTTCAGAAACCACAACACACTTCTATTTTTAAGGTTATACCCATCATTTCAATTTTCATTTACAAAATACGTGCTCTGTTTACCCTAAAAATCCAGTTGTTTACCTTATTAAGAAGAGGCTGCAGCTTGGTGAGTGCTATAACTGTAGCTTCTATTAGAACTTGGCTATTGTAATTGTCCGGGCCTTTCAAACAGCTCTCAAGTCCCTTTTTGTAGGGGGGAAAAAAAGGTAATTAAAAATCCAACCATAATTAGATTTTGCTTTGTAAAAAGAGGATCAAAACTCTAAACAATAATTGTTGCTCTCGGTTAGTTTACAAAGCTTGAGCTCATTTTAAACCAATTCTCAACGACTTTTACAAATGGGGATTTACACAGAAGTGCTACACGTGTTGCCGAGAGCCATCGCACAACGTGTATTAAAGAAGGGTGCAGGACAGAGTGCAAGAAGTAGAGAACAGCTCTTTTACAATTCAGATGCTGTTCAGTTAAAGTTTATGTCCATAAAACTCAAATAAAATACTTGAAGGAAACTGTTGGCTTGCTATGGGGCACACCCTTCTTTAGAAAATCGGGGATGTCATTACCGAGCTAGGCAGTCGGCTTCCGTCTCTAGTGCCCTGCTCTTTATTGTACGCACACGTAACACATCAGACTCACAACTTCCTTTTTTTAAAAGGAAGTTAATGACCATGTTCATGCAGCTAAATGCCTTAACAGAAAAACTGCATTTATTTAAACACTGACTTCTGGATCAATCTCAGTCTCTCAAAGTTTAAACTCGATATCAAAAGGTGGTGTTACTCAAGCAGTCACAGCACCGATGGAACTTCCTGCCACCAAATCAATGTAAGGCACATGGGTCTATTACCTTGCTAAGAATTCGGATTATTTGTTTTATTTGTCCATGAGAGACACGTTTACTGATACAGCCAAAGACAACAAGTGCTCTTGGCTGCAGGGATGGGTTATACTGGAATGCAAACCTGTGAAGAAAGAGAGTACACTGTATTAAACATCCAACAAATGGGCTGTCTAACGAGAAGCTGAGAATTCTAAATATACTACACAGGTGGGCAGGGTTACGTTCCGAGATCTATGACATACTTTTGAGCTAGTTCAGTCCACTGGTCCAGCCACTTGCACGTTGGAATATCCCTCATACAAGCCTAAAAAGAATGACACTGTTTAAATACATGTAACATTAAGAAAAAGTCTTTTTAAAATTCAGAATGTGCAGTTATTTTAGTTCTCAGGAGTCAGCTGCTTCGCGGTTTATTACCACACCACGGGAGGCACACCTCGCTCCACCGCCTGCCTGTACAAAGTGCAAGCAGTGCCACGGTCCCTTACGGGTAATTCCTCGTGTTGAACCACATACCTCCATGATCTCCAACAGAGCTTCAGTAACAGTTTCCAATGAAGTCAGTGCAAAAGTCTCCCTTTCATAGGAACCAGGAGAAAACGACCTGTCTCGATAGCTGGATCGGAACGCTATGACTGCAGCTGATTTCACTTTGCTGATTCCAAACAGCAAATAAAATTTAGGCAGAGAGAACTCGGTCAAGCTCAGCCTTAAAACTTGCTTGGTCTCCTCTGTTGAAAAATTTTTTACACATTAGATTGAAACCACTGAAATTCCATCCATGTTCTAAATACTCTTGGGCTCACCCTCCCACGAACACCAAAATAGTCATCCTATATGTCACTTGGCACATTCCAATACTGTTCTCCTTGCTACTTCTCCCAGAGTGTGCCACAAGAACTGCTGAAACCAGTCACCAGGAAGGTGTATTCTAAAACCAGGTAGAAACAAACTTGTTCAATGATGTGGTTCTGCAAGACTCCTCCTCACATGGGTTCAGAGAACGGACACCTGGAGAGGTCCTGCTCTGAAATACCAGCAGTACTGGAAGTTCAAACTGCAGCCAGACTCTGCTTTTGGCTCTGGCACTGAAATGAAGAACGCCACTTAAACCAGAGGAAAATGATGGCCCTGCTACCAGCGCTGAGTATTTTTACGATTCTGAACATTCATTTCAGAGTACTTCAAAGTCCCTGTTTAAACAGGAAGCCTGTGTGCGTCAAAGCCACGCTTTTCTTTATACATATATGTGTGTGTGTGTTCACACACTCGCTCTGTCGATACATACAAAGAGAGCTTTCTGATACTTAAAAAAGACAGGATTACATAAACTTTAATTTTTTTTTTCTGCAAAAAATCTAGCCTGGTTTTATACCATACTTCTGTGCTAAGAAGTGACAGCTACATATTTGCCAATACCAAATATTTTAGGACTGCTAAAATACAGCAGAATGCAAAATCCCTCTTTTAACAGTATGGTTTCACAATTCTCTTACGTAATTGATATTTTTGTTACCACATTATGCAACCATTCAAACGATGCACATCAGCCAGTTTTAGCACAGATGTACTTTCTCCTTTCTCTGCATTACAGGAAGCTACTGGTACTTTCTTCTCTTTTTCTGAAACCTGTTATACAAACAATTTACATTATGCACCTGCTCTGAACTAGATATTGTAATTTTTTAATTCCATAGTCCTTTTTTGCAGGTCACGCCCTCATTCTGAGTTGTACGCAAGCTGAATTCAACAGGGCATTTTCTAACTCTCAGCGTAGTTTAAAGAGAGAAAGACAACTCAAATACTTCTTTAAACAAACTAAGGAGCAATCACCTTAATTGAAAATCTGAAAAACAACTTACCACTAAAGTGAAGCTGTGAACAAGTGCAAAGAGAATGAATGATGTTGATGACGAGACCATGAGTGGAAGCTCGGAGAGAAAGGGGACCAGTGGCCACCAACAGAGTAACGACATGAAAGAGGTAGGGGAGATGTGCTGCCACATCCAGAGAATTGTTAAAGGAGAGCATCAGCATGTAACGTGCTAGAATAGCAATATCGTCCCACATCAGGTGCTGTTCCAGTGTAGGAGTTGGAGACAGACACGTCTTGTCGATTATTTTGCACATCCTTCCAATCACCTGAAAAGAGAGCAACCTCTTTGTTTTACCCAAACAAAGAGCACAGCTCAAACTTCCACTAAAAACCATTACAATTTAACATTCTATTTAACAATGTTATTAATTAACATTAATACTCTATTGCTTGCAACCCATTTTATCATGGTTTGTCATCACTGCCTGGGCTGAGTTATCAGAAAACATCTGTGTGTCATGTTAGTATTTAAGCTGAAATTTTCATATAAGAAGACATTAAGGCAAAGAGGGAACTCACTTTGCTTGAAACCAGTTTAACATTTCCAGAAGCAAGCGCTACAGCGGTGTCTGCCATCACCTCGGCTTTTATGGATCCCAAGCCCCCTGTGGCACTAGTTTTGATGAAACTGTCCAGCACGACATCAAGGAGATCTGTTATCTGTTAGAGAAAAAACACGTTCTCTGTTATCAGCCAGATTAACTATTTTTCCCACAGTAAACCACCTTTTAAAAATGCAACCATTAATTTTTTAGTTGCAGATGCAGAACTACCATAAACTGATGCATCAGTTTTAGCCTTTTGTTATCCTTTTGTAAAATAGTCCAACGTAAATATTAGAAGTATAAAGATTAATTCCATCAGGTTTACTCCAGATCAAAGTGCTTCAGAACTACAGAGAAACTATAATTTAGTTTGTATTGCTTAATTTTCCATTTTAAAGTACAACTATTCATAAAATGGTGAACCTAGCAAGAAGAATCTGGATTTGAAGTGGGGGAAAAAGCAAACTTCCAAGAAATAAGCAAAATCTTGTCTGTAATAGCCATGTGTGACTACAGCTACACGTAAACCAAGTTTCTTCTCCTGTATAAAAAAAAAAGACATTTAATATATGCAGGTGAATCAAATCTGTCCAAGTGCACAGACAACTCCAGGTAACATGCAGGCTAAGATTAATGCTATTTCAGGATTGGTTCAAATTCAGCGCATTATATTATGAAAATTGGTTGAAATGCTGGGTCAATTAAGTCAATTCCCACTGGCAGCTCTGGAATACTGAATTTTTTCATTCTGTATTCTCCATATTTACCTGTTAACAGAGCTTCATACTGGACATAACAGTCATATTGCTCTCAAGGTGAATGAACCTTTCAAAATACATTGACTTTACTTTTTGGCCAACTGGACCAAAAAAGAAAACGCAGTCATGCATCCAATTTGACAGCTCTCCCACATTCTCCGAGAGCAGCTTTGTGATGCTGGGCTGCATCAGCTTGAGTGACAGTTAAAAAATATAAAAGTAGTACAAGAGTGAGGAAGCAAGCCTGGTGCTGGCAAGTAAAGCTGGCCTCGTTTGTCCAGACAGCTCCTTCATGAATGGCATATGTGACGTCGGCTTGATTTTTTTAATCTTCTTTACTTTGCAGCATGGGTGAGGGCAGAATTTGGCTAATTGTTAAGCTAACGATCAACAGGAAGATTGATATTCTATTAGTTGCAATTAAAATGCATCTGTTTCAAAAGTGCAAAGAGTGCAAAAGTGCAAAAAACCCAACCTACTTCTTCCAGTGCCCTGCGCCTCACACCTCTGAATGGCAGCGCTTTGCTCTTCCCTACAGCACCCACACATTCAGGGGGTCTTGATGAAATAATTGCTACTAATACCGCAGACTTAATTTTCAATTCTCAGGGGGGGCCAGGAACACATTCCTAGAAGCCAGAGTTCATGAATGATTTTATCAAGTATTTTGTAGCGCACGCTACTCTGCACACAACCTATGTACCTAAGTCACATCAAGATCCATTTTGGTTTTCTGCATTAACATTTAAGTGGTTAAAAACTACAACTGCAATATTAGTCAGTTTGTACCTGTCCAAGACTTCCCCATATCTTAGCTTGAATGGAAGGATACATCTGTTTTTCATTTATCGTCATCGTTATAAGCTTATCGAGAATAGCAGTGACTCGCTGGCGCTTAGCATCATCATTGTGTTTACAGAATCGGACCAGATTGGACAGCCAGGGAGTCATGTACTCCAGACAAAGATGTTTCAGTTCAATACCTGAAATAAAAATTCACCTTGTAACACAGAATCAGCACCCGTCTCTATTTGTAAGTCAAGAATTATTTACGAGCACTTTCCTTTCAGTTTTATGGTCTAAAATAATGACTATCAGAGCTGAGCAAATAATACTGGGCAAACAGGCAAGCTTCAAAAATAAACATACTCTAACAATGACATCCAAGAAACATCTGTTGGAATCTGGCAAGGGGATGTCGACATTTCAATATCTTAGTAAGAGAGATGTGACAAAAATGTGTACATTCAGTACTGGACAGGACTACTTAAGATAATCTCTTCTTGAGCTTGAGAGCATATTGTAAACGGCTTCTAACAGTAATGTCAGAGCTGTATTATGCCTGGAAAAAAAAGGATGACTAAAGCAGTGCAACAGAACCCAATGCAAAATTGAGAGATGACAGCCATTCTGATACAGCTGAAGAAGCCTGTAACTCTTCGAGAGTTCAAACCTTCACTACCAGGGACCTCAGATTTTGATCTGTGCTCTGCAATCTTCTCTACTTCTGGCAAATTGATAGATAATTAATCTATTATTAATTAGATAGTGATCTAGCCAAAGTATTCACTGGACAAAACTACCAACGGTGAAACAAAGAATTCATATTGTGATCTCTCTGAATGAACTTAATCTCTAAACGAATGAGATGCCTAGCAAAACTTGTTTCAACATTTAAAAAAAAAAAAAGGCAACTTCCTTTAAAATTTTGTCTACTTCACGAGAAAGTAAAGGGCATGTTCCAATATGAAAAGTAACGTACTGGTTCCAACAGATGCCATTCCAGTTTGTGAGACTGCCTGGCATCAGTGTATTCCACAACTCGATTATTAGGAAACAGACATAAATGGATAATCTGGAAAACAGCTAAAAGCTCTAAGAATCATTTGCAATTTAAGCTTATTATGACTCAGTACCATGAGGAAGCCCAGTTGACTAACCTAGATGGCTACCAACCTAAATCTTTTCAAATTCAGGGTTAGCATTAAGGAATATCAGTGTTACTTACTAGATTTGCTAAATCCAGAAATACACTCTTCCAAGAACTCTAAGGTAAGGTGTGGTTCGTTAGCTGCAAGAGTCTTACTAATAGATACAATAAATAGTGTGTTGTTGGCAGGAATACACAGACCTGAAGTTTCCAGTAACTGGCCCTCAATCTTTAAATTAAAGGTACAGGTTAAGGCACATAGAAGATTATAGGCAGCAGACCTGCAACAAAGCAAGCAACACGACTTGTAAGAGTTTTCTTGAACATTTTAAAATACACGCGTTACACCAAGGCGTCACACAGTAGTAGTACTGACATTTGAAAACTCGAATCAATGCTGCTATGTAAGAGACAGCACTTAAAATACTGTACTCTTCCCTGCACCAGTTAAGATTCAGAGACCAACATCTGCCTGGGAGAAATCACTCCTCCACTTGCTTTAAACAATTTCTGAGGAGGCTAAAGAATATGCTTGAAGGACTTTGTACTGGACTTCTCAGAACGGCTTTCAGTTCCAGGAAATTCAAAGTATTTCCACATGCACCTGAGCTGCTGGGAGAGAGGCTGCCGAGGGCCCCAGGGGCTGCTCCCAGCCAGCACCCAGTCTGCGACAGGCCTTTGGGACAAGATTCCAGAGCCTGCTCTATGGGGTACAGCTCCCACGTTATTACACACCAAGTTCAACACCATGAAAATCCAATGTAGCTAATAAACACATACTGCAAAGCATAAGTATTTCTCTTTATAAAGGGAAATGAAGCCTTCAGTTACTCTGATAGTATGTATCCTTCCTTTGCCTACAGAAAACCCAATCTTCATAACAAAAAGTACATCTCATGGAGCTATGGTGAAAGATTGTTTTGTTCAAGAGAGATCTTCCAACACTAAGGAAACCTTGGAAAGAATTCACATTTTTGACCAAAGTTGGTACTAATTTAAAGGATCCGTACCGCAAACTGGGGTCTGAGCTTCCCAGGTTGAGCAGCGCTATGTTCAGTAGTGTTCCAGGGACATCCTTAGGACGAATTTTAGTATGCTGTGGGATGGAGTCTGGTTGTGACAGCTCCCACCGTGTCCGTATATGAATGATGGACCTAACGATGGCTTCACACTCCTGATGCATGAAGGTGAGCGGTGTGCCTTGGTTGGCAATGGTTAGCGTGAACTGGTTCTCATCAACGAGACATATCTCCTCTATTTCCGAGGCATAGTATATATCGTTCAGAAACACCGTTTGTCCCAGGACTCTTGTGCGTTCGGCTGATGTCACCTGCACAGCTGTCGACCCCACCTGAGAAAGAGAACAGAAGTATGGTTCAGCACCTCTACTACCAGCAGTACAAAGAGAAGAAAGTCTGACATTTCCAATTTTGTAAAAATAAATGCATGAAATTTTATACTTCCTAATGAGGCATACTAGTAAACTGTGATGTCTCCTCCAGACAGGAGAATTGAGACAGTAAAACCATATTCAGATTCTGATAAAAAGGTAACAATTCACGAGGAACAGCATTAAAAGGACTTACTTTAATAGAAACTTTGGTGTCTTTATGAGCCAGTTTGAGTGCATTGTGAAATACTTTCAAGTCCTCCTCCAAAGCCAAGGTAGCTGCTGGGAGTTTCTGCTGGTCATGTTCAATGTGCTCTGCCAGTTTCCCGGGAGAGTCTATGAAAATAAGCCTTTTGCTTCCTTTCAAACCTGTCAAGAGCCTTTCATGGTATTTGGTGTATTCTCTGACCCAAGAGTTACAGTTATAAATAAAAACTGCTGAGACATTTTCATAAGCAAAGCCTGGAAAAACTACAAACCATTTAGAGAGAAAGTCTGTTTTAAAGCGATTACTGGGGCCAGCGTGCGTGAGGTCCACTACGATTTCGTATGGCTTTGCGTAGTATGGCTTCAGAGTTAGCAGTACGTGGTATATCAGCAGATCTCCGTTGATCTGACCAGTCTTGAAGCTGTAAGAAAACCAGACAGACATTGTGGGGTTTGCATTTTAGATCCACATTACCAACACCTGAGTGGTAATTACGCATACTACTACTACACTAAACCACGCTGATCTTTCACACAGTTGTAAAAATGCCCTCGGATCCAAAGCGATGCCGCTGACTGGCAGCTGCAGCCTGGAGGCATCTGTCACGGCCCACACGCCGACCAAGTTTAGTGCCCAGTATGATGAAGCTTTGACTCGGGATGTACCTCAACTTCCTTTTCAAGTGCCACGCAACCTACCACAGCCAAGCGACCTCCAGGCAGACAGGAGGTTTACTCAACCAACTGCAAAAATAAAATCCATGCTGGAGAGCAACAGTGCATCAATTGGGTCAAAGCTGGATTGCATGAGAAGAGCTCAGGGTTCCTTTAGAGTGTGAGACCCTCAAAGGAACTTTTTACCCTCCTCAGACATTCAAATGATATCTATTTTTATACGTGGAAGAACACATTTATTTCCAAAGTCTTAATTAAGGCTAATTAAGGCTAATTAAGCTACCAGCTGTTTCAAAGGGTCTCATTTGATTTGCTATACACTGCAGCACACTAACACTTGGTGGAATGTTTCTACAAACGGTCAGTCCTCTGAGCAGTGCATAGGACGTGTCTACAACAGAACTCTTCCCAGAAAAACATTCAGACAATGTGTAAGTCCGAAGAACCTTTTGTTCTCATTTAACAATTCTCTGTGTTGTAGGAGCGGCCCAAACCAGGTCTCCAGTGTCAGAGACAAAATTCTACTAGGAAGATTTAATTCCAAGTCAAACTCAACAGTAGCACGTGCACATCTGAGGTACTTTTAAATTCCTATCACCGTTTCAAGCCAGCGTTAAGGCTTCAAGGCAAACCAACAGGCTACGGAAAGGGCTTATAAACAGGGCAAACATGTATGCAGCTTTGAGCGCGTTGGGACACTGCTCTCGATAAGATCTGGGGTAAACCACCCAAGCGCAGGATAACTGAGGAGATAAATTTCATGAACGTAGAATATTTGGCCGGCCAAGATACCTTTCCCCCCGCCGTGATACTTCCTGTTGTTCTGAGAGCTAATCTGGGCAAGCTGGCGTTTTTCCCCCTCTAACGTGTCATGGTATAGTTGTTACCAAAAGGAAGTGTGTCATCTCTGTGGTTTTAGTTCTCCACTTAGAGTAAACGACACATAATTTCAGTTACAGATTTGCTTAAAAAATACCAGCATTGTCTAAATCTACTCGCTTTACGGTAATGGTCGTTTGCATCCTAAGAGCAAATACACGCGCAAAGAAATTCTATTGTTAAAGGACCAACTGTCTGATACACCAGTTCTCTGTTGACGACACCTCGGTAAGGTAAGTACACATTTTCCTTCTCCTATTTTAAGTTCCACTTCAAAGTTTCTTAGAGTCTGGAGAAAAATATATGCAAAAATATTTTTAAAGAAGGAATGCAAAAAGAGTAACAGTCTGTAGAAATATGATGTCCAACTGAATTAAGGAAGCTGACAGAACTGTATTTTTAGCAATGGTAAAGTTGTTCACAATCAAACTCCAGAGCATTAACAGTGGCAGTCGTTCCTTTACCGACAGAAAACCCCATCAATGCCCAGGCACAGAGGGCTGAACCGAAAGAAGACGACCCAGCTCTTTAACGATCAGTTCCTTTGCTCTCATGATTTTAAGCAAAGCCCTTAACAACCTCAGTTTGTTTATTTTTAAGAGAAGCACATCTGGTCTAGAACACTACAATTGACACTGGACTTATTGTGCTCTTGGAGGGAGCAGGCAGAGAGTTGCAGCTCTCGGGGAGGAAGCCTAAATGCTGGAGTCTCTGCGTACTAGCACATGTCTCAGCCCGCATGTCATGCAAAGCTCGATGTGAAACGTTGGATTGTTTTAAGGAAAAAAAAGGCCTTTTTTCCTTTTTAAAGTATGCTACAGGGCATCATCCAGGCAACCTTTTACCATATGAAGGTAAAAATTCTACCTGAGCTGCAGCTGATTACTAAGATGGTTTCTAGTTCAAACTTAATAAGGACTCAGCTCAGCACGGAGCCTGATTTTACATTCTGGGTGAACTGCAAAGTAAAAGGTACACGTCTTCCGCTGCCCCTTTCCACGTATGGAGAGACACCCTTAGTCTGTTCCCTGGTTACACACCAGGCACATATATAT